ACAGGCTGAGAGAGTTGGGGTTGTTCAGCCTGGAGAAGAGAAGGCTCCGGGGAGACCTCATAGCAGCCTTCCAGTACCTGAAGGGGGCCTACAAGAAAGCTGGAGAGGGGCTTTTTACAAGGGCATGTAGTGATAGGACAAGGGGTAATGGCTTTAAACTGAAAGAGGGTAGATTTAGATTAGATACAAGGAAGACATTCTTCACTATGAGGGTGGTGAGGCACTGGCACAGGTTGCCCAGAGAAGTTGTGGATGCCCCATCCCTGGAAGTGTTCAAGGCCAGGTTGGACGGGGCTTTGAGCCACCTGGTCTAGTGGAAGGTGTCCCTGCCCATGGCAGGGGGGTTGCAACTAGATGATCTGTAAGGTCCCTTCCAACCCGAACCATTCTATGATTCTATGATTGTTCCATACCACATATTGCTAGTCAGTGTGAATCAATTTGGATTATTCTCCCTGTAGGAAAGCTACCCCAATGTGACACTGGCAACACTGATGTTACCAGAACAGTGAATTATCCAGACTGAATCACAGCATGTTTGCAATGGGACTGATGAAAATCAGCGTAGCAGAGGAATTAGAGGACTTCCATGATGAGTCCTCTAAGTTCTTAATTTCTTCCTCAAACTCTGTGTTTATTCAGCTTTCTTTTGGCAGATGGCTACTCTTCAGAGGACATCGTCTACCACTGGTCAGAAAACCAGGAGGAGATCCATGGGCTGGATAAGCTGCAGCTTGCTCAATTCACAATTACCAGTTACCAGTTCACAACAGAAATGATGAACTTCAAATCTGGTAATAGGATCTGTCTTCAGTTCAGGGACAGTATCTGACTTTTTCCTGTATAGGGAAACCTCCTATATCTATAACAGAAAATCCTTCTTCTTAAGTAACTAATTTAAGAACCTGTCAGGTTTCTGGTAAGAGTTTTCTTTAGCTTACACTTGCAAAAAATGCCAACCTTTGCTGAGCCTTCAGGTAGCCACTGTAGCATGTTTTGTCCTTTAGATCTGAATGTTTGACAAAATACTGCATGGAGTAGCCAGACAGCACTTGATAAAAAACACTTGAGGTATAGCTCACATTTTTTTGACCTAATTTGCAACTTCGGATAAAGAAAAATTTCCATTAGCCCTGATGTTATGAGGCTTATGACGTACAGTCAGATCATTCTAATTCTATCCAGTAGAAGTCAGTGGTGTGTATGCATACCACTGGGTTTATTGCAATGTTTGTAAAAGATTGGAGTAATTTCTTTCCTGCTGATTTTTCATCCTCTTTCATGTATTCAGATTCTCATTTATGCTGCACATCTCCTCTAAGCTCTTTTTTGAGTTTGAAATTAACTTGGCCTTTTAAAAAATCTAAATTTAGTATCTGGAGGACTTTCTACAGCAGATGATAAGACAGTACACATTTTGAAGCAATACTGTTATTTGAGAAGATTCATGATTTTATTTTCAGATCTGGCATTGATATGACCTGAGACAAATCATTTGACCTATTCTTAGCTAACAGTGCTGACGAGAACTGCAGTACCTCGTGCAGGGTTTCTGAAGACTAATTGAACAGCATTCAAAAAAGCTTTTTGTGATCCTTGTCCAAAAGATGTTTAAGAATGTAGATCTGTGTCATTATAGGAAATGTTATTTTGAATATCAGTTTAACTATAATTCACACAGTCAGATTCTTTCTTTGTCTGCTCTTTTTTTCCAGCAGGTCAGTTTCCCAGGCTCAGTCTCCACTTCCACCTTCGGCGAAATCGAGGAGTTTACATCATTCAGTCTTATGTTCCTTCTATCTTACTAGTGGCCATGTCGTGGGTATCCTTCTGGATCAGTCAGTCAGCTGTGCCTGCCAGAGTGTCATTAGGTAAAACATAGTTTGGGGAACTAACAGGGAAGGGTGTGCTGAAGTTGTAATTATGCTCTGTAATAATCCTCATTTTCCATGAAGGTGCATTTATGAATACTATGTTTACATTTGCGGAAGAGAAGGTCCTTTAAAAGATTTCCTTCATGTTTTAATTTCTGTCATGCTATCAGAGCAGCTGCCTCAGTAAAGAACAGAAAATAACCATCTAAAGATGGTTAAAAGCAATAGTGAATGTGAGGCAGATGTATGAAAGAACCGATCTGAAGGAACTGGGACAGTGACAAAAAAACATTCCTAGAGCTTGTGGATCTCTTTGCCTGAGTAAGGGTTGCAAGTCCAGATGCAAAAGGTTTGGAGGGTTAAGTCTTCTGGTTTTGTTTGTCCTGATCTAGAACAAAACCAAGGATAACATGTTCAAAGCTGCCTTACTCATACAAATGCACATATTTTTACAAGTTCCCCTGTTTTGAAAATCAGAAGCCACACTATTAAGGGGCTTATACCATGAAAATATTCCTCAGCTTCAGATTAGTAAATACACTTGTTGTAGTATATACTATGAAACCTAATTAAATTTTCTCACACTACACTGCAGGTATAACTACTGTTCTTACTATGACTACACTGATGGTCAGTGCCCGATCTTCGCTTCCACGAGCATCTGCCATCAAGGCACTTGATGTTTACTTCTGGATTTGCTATGTGTTTGTCTTTGCTGCACTGGTAGAATATGCATTTGCACATTTCAATGCTGACTACATGAAAAAGCAAAAGAACAAGATAAAGGCGAGAAGGCAGAGTGGAGAGGTCAGTAAGCGTAATACTGTGAATAACTTTGCAAAAGCAATCACCCTGCATTATGACCTTTTTCTACTATGGAAGGAAATTCTTCTACCCCTTTTGAAAAAAAAAATCCTGGTTAATTCTTTTGTCACATTAATATGACAAGCAACCGAATGCAACTGCTAATTTCCTCTTGCAGCATGGTTAGCACTAAAGACAACATATTCTTACATGGTTTGTTACTGTATTTAAGATAGGAAATGGAGAATAAGAGAGAATGAGTAAGAAAAGAGGCAAAGTATGTCTTGAGCCAGATTTGTACGTCTTGCACTTTGAGAATATATTTAGACCCTTTGATATTTGTCCAGTCAGTGTAAGTTACGGTAACCTTGAGTTGCTCCTGTAGTGCCAGGGCAAAGTCATTATGACAGTATTACACGAGATGGGGAAGAAAGGCCTTTTCTCAGAAGGTATTCTTTAGTAGCTGTCTCTGCTAAGACTCTTTTAGTTCTGCTACAGCATAATAAAATGCTGTCAGCAAAACAAAAGCTAGGCCTGTAGTCTTGAATGTTGTCCCCTGGAGATTACATTTTTTACACCTAAACTGCATAAGGTAAATACAGATATAATTAGCATGGATATAAGTTATGTAGATATGAAGCCCAGTGAAACTGAACAAATGAGTCCGTAGATGAAATTTCTTCCAGGAACTCCAGATGGCTTTGCTGCTTTCTTCATGTACATACATGCACGTTAGTGATGAAGCAGAGTGAATTGATTAAGGAACTTTTTTTTTTTTTTTGACAATTCACAATTTGTAGTCCAGGCCTATGTATTTTTGAACTCTCTGGCACCTTGGGTATTATTTATAATTATTATTACTTCATTTTATTAAGCTGTAGTAGATACAACAGATCCATATTCATTTTCTGTCCCACCTCCACATTCTCTCAGCTTTGACAAGAGCCAGAGAACTGCCTATTGGCTTTGGCCACAGAATGGGATAGCTCTATCCTTAAAGTCAGTCAATTATTTTCAGCCAGGAGGGCCTAAGCATGCTGTCTCAATGGTGCCTCAGTAATTCAGAGCATGTAAGATTATAACCAGAATTTGGATGTGGTAGTACAGTCTTTCAGCGGTCCTTCTGCCAAAGCAAGAGATAAATACCATTCAGCACTTATGGATCTCATAGGTATTTCACCATGTCGGTATCATGGCTAGCTTGGATGAAGTACGCTACCTCTGCCCTATAAATTGCTATTATAGGTTCTCCTCTTTCCTTTGCAGATAAACGTGAAGAATGCCATTGTTCTGTTTTCCCTTTCCATAGCTGGTGTGAACCAGGAACTGGCTATTTCCAACAGGCAGCACCGAATTCCCAGAAGCCTGCCTGGATCGTATGGCACAATAGAAATAGAAACTGGAGAGACAAAACAGCAGCAAGTAATGAAACTGGATAAAAAGAGAGGTCTGAAGTCCCTCTTTAAGCCCATTGATGCTGATACCATTGATATATATGCCAGAGCCGTGTTCCCAGCAGCCTTCGCAGCAGTCAATGTTATATACTGGGTTGCATACACAATGTAAAAAAAAAAAAAAAAAAAAAAAAAAAGAAAATTCATGTGAAGAGCTACAAATTGAACAATACCTACAGACTAAAAAGCCCTTGCTGAAACTGTATTGATCCATCTCTTCTCAAAATATTTTCCAATGAGCTCAAGACATTTCTAAAGTCAAGAAAGTCCTGCGATCAATTCCTACTAAAAGCAGCAATTTATTACCGATCTCATTTGGTACAGTAATAACTGTACTCCGCCAAACAATCCCAGCTCCTTATTTCCTGTATTACCATGAGACAATTTTTCATCTGTACATATTTGCAGCAAAAGTTTAAATCTTAAATTACCATGGTTTTCCTCCACTTTAAGGGTTGATCAGTAATGAAGATTTGGCTTTTCACACTCAGATAATTTCCTTTTTTGTAATGGAAGAGCTAATTCCTCACTTCCACACATGAGTGATTTTCTGCATCTGACCTTCTGTGGGATGGTCTAAGTTTAACAGTAGTGGTAAAGTTGGAGTTTTTAATCATAAAAATCTCATGAACAAAGTAAAAGGGAATATAGGGGAGTGGAGGCTTTTTCTTAAATTATTATTTGTCTTGGAGAAAATATTGAAAACATTTCAATGCTCTTAGTCACAGCATGAAATAAAATATACTACATAAAATTGTACTGAATTGTTAATAATGGCTGTATTACATTTCAGATCTAAGCTAGTGAAAGTTTAAACACTTAAACACAGTAATGTTTATTAGTTTAATAGGCCCAAAAATAGACAAAGGTGATTTAGAAACACAGAGAAAGCTCAGGCTTTCTATGTTGGATTGGGAAACATTTTAAAGGTGCTTGATACGAAGGAACTCGGACTCCATTTTCATGAAGGACTTCAGAATTCATTTTGTTAATTTTTAGTGAGAGTCTACCATGTATGCCTCTAAAAATATCCTTTTTGCATCTGTCCCAAAATAGCTGAGTGAAGTAAAAAAAAGTCATAAATGGCTTTAAGTTACTCAGTTGCTTTGGATATTTTTGCCATTTTTATTCAGAGGCTGACCTAATATGTTAGGCCTCTTCACTTCCATTATCTGAAAATGAAATTTGTGGGTACTCATACACACTCCTTAATTCAGGACTAGATCCTCTCACCCAACTCAGGCAAAATAACACTTTGTTCTGTAAATAATTCCAGTGAACTCAGCAAATGAATGCAGTATTCACAACAAATACAAGTTTCATAATTAATCTCTAAAAAACTCCACAGCAAAGGTATTGGGATATGGATTAAAACAACTGAAATATTGTTAGTTTAGGAAACCTATGTAAGACACTTCAAAAGGGAAATTTTTTCTGAGGATTTTGTTGCCTTGAAAGTGAGAGGTTGTTTCAAGTATAGAGACTGACACAAAAGAAAATATGAAATGAGAGGGAGGGAAAGAAGGAAGCAAAGCAAGTGGCTGAAAGCTACGATGGAAGGGAGCATGGGGAGGTGCGAGATTAAACAAGCCAAAAGATGTAGATAAGAGAAGAGTTGTGCTGGGCTTTGAAGATGGGGATCTTGAACGTAGTGGCTGATGATTAATAGTTGCAATCGCAGTAAGGATGAAACAAACATTTAATCACAGTGGAGCGTGCGCATATTCCTCCTGCCTTACTTATCTGTAACATATGGTTCGATTTCATATGACCAGCACTGAAAAATAGAGCATTTTAACACAGATTTAAAACTTAAAATAAGATTTGTTCACTATCACTGATGTAAGAGAACGCTCTGAAGAAAAAATAATGATCCTGAACTGAGCTATAATAGAAAATATGCTCCCATCGTAAGTCAGGCTTAAGTTCACCTCAATCTTTAGTTTCTGTTATAATGGAAAAACTATTTGCCAACAGTGTGCTGGAAGGTGCAAACTGACATCAAGCTATAACTGTTCCACAAAGTTCTCACCAGTCTAGCCCGGGGCTGAGACACCTGGATTCTGCTCCAAGATCTTGCCACTGACTTGTTGGGCAATCTTAGTTAAGTCATTTCACTGCATCATCTGCAAAATTGATATAATGATACTGATTTATTTCCTATATCTTTGAGTTTTACAGAAGAAAAACTCTTCAGGAGAGACAGAAACTCTTATCCTCCAACTAGGTAAGTGCATCCAACTAGTACTTATGTGGTGCTATTTACCATAGTTTCTGAGACTTTCACATACTGAATTAAAGCAAAGTATCACTCAACTTTCACCTTATCCAGAAAGCTAATGAAATTCTGCATCTCCTTCAATACATGCAGGTAATCAGGCTTCTCTTTTTCCTTCTGCTTCTCCTCTTTCTATTTTATTTTTCTTGGTGTTTGTTCCTGATGTTGATGAAATGCTACATTACAGAAAACACACATTCTGAGTGTGTTTTTGGTCATAATCACTTTCTCCTAAAGGAAGTTCAACCCCTCCTGCTCTCTTCTGAATCATTCTTACTGTTTTATGTAATGATTAAGTGCAGAGTGGAATAAAAACAGCAGAAGCATGACTTTACAATGCCTTTTCCTTACTAAGTTGTAACTTTTTCCCTGATCCTGTGTCAGGTCTTTGACATATCTTAATTCCCCTTTCTACCTCTCCTTTCAGCTTAAAACTGAGCTTTTTCAATTTACACCTGATCTAATTCTTGTCTGGCCTCAGAAGCATCGGAAGTTTAAATGTTGGATGATGCACTTTCATAGGCAAGGCAAGATGGTAGGCAAGTCTGAAATATTCTGCTCAGCACTTTGAACAGTACTACACCGTTTAGAAAGGCCATAGTGCCTTATTCTTCTGTTACACTTGCATAAATCAGAAATAATCTTTGTTTTAAAATCAGTAGATTAACTACTGCTGTGAAAGCAGAGTCTAACTTTTTTGCATCCTCCTGGTTTCTCTAGCTATTAGTTTATTACATGGCCTGTCAGTGTCAGTATCTACTGCTAGGAGCGAAATTATTGACTAAATCCATCTGAAGAACTACTCACAGCAGGTTCCTGTGGAGAGTAAATCATAAGAAAATAATCCATGATTTTGGAATTACAGTTATTAAAGAGCAGAGAACAAAGCATTGACCTAGTCCCTCTAGTGTGCAGTGGCTGGTTATTTAAAGTAATTAGCAAGAAGGCAGCTGCAGATATTATAAAGGCAGTGTCTAATCTAATTACTTCAGCAGTAACAGTTTATAATTGTGCACCTGACATAACTCCTTACACTGAAGCCAACTGAGTTATCACATGGCATTATTGGACAAAATTAGTTGCTTCTCCATCTGGGAGACAGTCGTAGGCTGCATGCCCTGCTGACTTGTTCAAAAGATTTATTCAATTAATTTTTCTGTAGTTCGACTGCAGATCTTCAGGGTGCACAGCTCAGTTGTGATTGATCGAAGTAAAAGGTGGCAGCAACCTTTTCCTCAAAAAAACCCAAAGCCAGAACGCTAGACTATCACAATGTTGTAGACAGAAGCATAAATAAAGGGGGGGAAAAAAAAAATCTCAAAACATTGTAGGCAGTCAGAAATGCACGCTGTGAGCATACATATGGCAATCGTGTCCATTCCAGGAACGAGGTGACTCAGCGGGGAGAAGAGGTGTTTCAGCTACTGTTACTGCACTTGCATGAGTAGCACAAGACAAAACACCTCCATCATGAAGAGTGGGATTTTCTTAAATCTGTTTCCAGAGCCAGAAATAGAAAAGTCAGATGCCATCCAAATTCAATTTTAAGGAGAAACTTCAGTATAGGAGTATGGTGTAACGATTGGCATTTTGCATAAATTGGAATCTTCTGTACTTTTGGTGTGCTTTACTTTTTTTTCCCTGTTTAAAATCATCATACTTAAAAATCATCAGACATTAATACTTTAGATGTATTAACGTCTAAAGACAATGCCCTATTCAACTCTAATTTCATGATGCCCTTAATAAACAGAAATAAACTAAATTCAATGTCAGCTGAATGCTGACTTTGCATGGGTTGTATTAGCGTCAAGGAGAGGCAAAAAAAAAAAAAGTAGTATGTGACAGATCAGAAAGCACTTTTTCTGTGCTGTACCTGAAAGCATTTGTATTCCTTTCAGCAGTTCAGAGTACTGCTCTATGGACTGGTGTTTCTGTGATAAAAAGAGTGGGATATGTGTTAATGTAATCATTCTAAATGTGAAGTGTTAATAAAATGTAGATATAGAGAAGTTGGAGCTTCTATAAATGGACAAAATAGACATTCCAACTATTGACCTGGAAGATAAAATGCTTTAGAAGGAAAACCAAAATAAACTCAGAGATTTCATCCCATAATGAAATCCTGCCTATTCAGTGCCCAAGGGCTTGTAAAACTCTACTTTGGCCTTGACAAGAGAAGAGAAAGTACCATTCTGTATTCATGAGTGCTTTCTGTGGGGCACTTCTGCAGACTACTGTATTTATGTTAAAAAATAGCTGTTGCTGCCTCAAGAGGTTGAAAAGAATCAGAAAGCACAAGATGAAGAAGAGCAAGATACTGCATGATTTGTTTGAAAGCAATCCTGGCAGTGACAGCACTATTAAGAGGTTAATATACAGAAATGTCTGTCCTGTTTCTGGGTAAAAATGAAAGCTTTTATCCAAGTAAAAGCTCTCACATCAGTTCTTAACCGGTTTGCTAATCCAATAGATAATGTAGCGAAACCAATTTAACTCAATGAGGCTTCTACTGTTGGTACAACAAAACACTTAACCGATTGCCCTGATTTTAAATACTCAGAGTCATTAACCTAAGAAAGCACTTCACATTAGGAGGAAAACAGCACCCCTGCATATTTGTCTATGAAGCAGAATAGATAACAAAAAGCTTATTGAAAGTTACTGAGAATATTTTCATTAAAAAAAATCTGAAGCAAGTCCCCCATGCCTCCTTTATTATAGCAGCTTAAAACACTTGCAGTGGTGGAAAGCTTGTTTGATGTTATAATAATACTGCGTGCAATATATATTACAAACATATATATCTAATTCTTCTTAATGAAAACGGAATAAAAATTTGGCAATGAACATGTCTATTTGGATGGATTTGGTAGCTGAAACGAGAAAGGCACTGTCTCTTTCTGCCTTCATAACTTGTGTCTTAAAATAAATGAATTTGAGGATTTAAGCCCATTGTTACATAATGCATTAGGGATCTGTTCTCTCCTTACACCAGCTTTATGTCATGGCTATTCCTTTTACTAAGTCCTGCACCGTAAAAACAAATCTGAGAAGACAGTCAAGCCCAGGCTGTCAGAAAATATAGCACCAACAGAACTAATCGGATGTTATTGGGAGTTCACTGTTGCACAAAAAGATTGGTTCAAAAAAAGAAATCCAAATATCCCTCGTTTCTGAGGTATCGGAAACCTCTAGATTCAGTCTAGATCACTCTACATTTAGGACCAACCAATACATAGGACTAATTCCACTGAATGGAAGATCCCCCTAGCCCAGTGTCTAATCTGCACCCTTTGGTATAAAGTCTGTCATGGAGTCGCTGAGCATGTGCATCTTTTACTGAGATCAGTAATGCTCAGCACTTACAAGCATCGTTCTTTGTGTTCTCAAGTGGGGCAAAGAGAGACAATATTACAAACCAAAGAAAAGTGCTTTTATACTTGTAGGTCTCATCTACACAAAGTTGAACTGATTT